TAGCTAAGAGTGAATCATTTTTAGCATCAAGTTTTTCATTAGTAGCTCTACTCTTTCTAATGATCTTAGTGTATTTTCTTAATATTTTGACAAGATCATCATATGTGGGTGAATCATCATCGCTAGCTTGCTCATCATCACTACTATCATCACTCTTAGTTACCTTGCGTTCACCCTTGGCCATGAGGCATAGGTGTGTAGAGGATGATGGCGATGGTGGTGGTGAGGATGCAAGATCAATAGCAATGGTGGACACCTTCTCATTGTCACTCTCATCATCGGATGAACCACTTGATGAATCAATGTCCGTGAGCCAATCACCGACAATATAGGCCTTGCCACTCTTCTTCTTCTTGTAGAAGTCTCTCTTTTTGCCATCTCTCTTCTTGTGTGGCTTGTTCTTTTTCTTTTCATCTTCATCACTTGAATCATCTTTCTTGCCCTTGTTCTTGAACTTGTCTTTCTTGGGCTTTGTGCATTGATGAGCTAGGTGGCCAAGTTCACCACAATTGTAGCAATCCATCTCGGAGATTGGCTTTCTTCTTGAGCTAGTGAAGAACTTCTTCTTCTTGCCAAAAACTTGATGCCACTCTTGTTTAGCTTCTTTAGCATCTTGGCGGTCTTTTTCACCATGAGAGCAAGACTTTCTTCATCATCTTCATCACTTGAGCTCTCATACTCAAGTCTTGCCTTGCCCTTATCTTGGCTAGCTTTGAATGCTAAGTCCTTCTCTTTCTTCTTTGTAGAGGTTGAGCCATCTTGTGGCGTGTTGTGCATGTACATCTCATGAGCATTGATCTTTCCCAAGATTTGTGTCGGTGTAGCGGCGGAAAGATCACCTTGATGTAGCACGGTCACAATGTGCCCATATTTGTCAATGGGGAGGACACTCAAGATCTTTCTCTGGCAACGTCGGATGGTGACATTTGAGTAAGTCCAAGCCCATTGACTTCCTCTACAAGAACATTTAAACGAGAATATATTTCATTAGCACTTTCTTTGGGAAGCATCTCAAAAGAATTTAGCTTTTTAATCACAAGATGATAGTGTTCCTCACGCTCACTCTTGGTTCCCTCATGGAGCGCACAAACGTCCGACCATAGAGCATGGGCGTCTTTGTGGTTCCTTACACGATTGAACACATCTTTGCAAAAGCCTCTAAAGATGGTGTTGCGAGCCTTGCATTCCATTTTCATAGTTTACTTCATCGCCTTGGAGTTGTGCGGCATTCTTAGGTGTTGGGAACCCTTGAGAGGCGGCTCTAAGAATTCCAACATCTAGAGCTTCTAGGTAAGCCTCCATGCGAATTTTCCAATAAGGAAAATCATCCCCCTCAAGATAGGAGGAGGTCCATCCCCGTGAGACATCTTGCTCTAAGCGGTTAGGCTTAAAAACGTGAGCACGAGGCTCTTATACCAATTGAAAGGATCAAGATGCCCAAGAGGGGGGTGAATTGGGCTAATTCTAAATTTTCTTTCAATAATCAAATCCTACGGATAGCCCAATTAACCTCTTGTGCCTAGAAAAGTGTTTATGTCAAACTAATGCACAACAACCTCGCAACCTATGTTCCAAACTTACTCTAGCAACCAATTCTATGGATGTGAAACAAGTATTGAATTTCTCAAAGTAAATACTCAAAGTAAGTGCTCAAAGTAAATAGAGAGAGAAAGGAACGCGATGTTTTGCCGAGGTATTGGAGAGTCGCCACTCCCCACTAGTCCTCGTTGGAGCACCACAAGCAGGGGTGTAGCTCCCCTTGATCCACGCAAGGATCAAGTGCTCTCTGGGTTGATTCTTCGACACTCCGTCGCGGTGAATCACCCAAAACCGCCACAAACTTGAGTTGGGTCACCCACAAGCTCACCGGTGATCACCAAGCTCCCAATCACCACCAAGCCGTCTAGGTGATGGCGATCACCAAGAGTAACAAGCACGAACTCTCACTTGACCACACGAAGCCTAATGAGAAGATGGATGCACACTTGTCTACTCTTGATTCACTAATGAGGTTTCACTCTTGGATTCTCAAATCACAAACACCTCACTAGGACCTTGCTCTTCTTGGCACTCACAAACGTGTTTCTCAAATTGTTGAATGAGCAACAAAGTGACTCCACACATGAGTGGAGCTTCTATTTATAAGGCAGACTGAAAAACGAACCGTTATGAGCTTCTGCGGGATGACCGGACGCCTCGATCATATTGACCGGACGCTCGGTCCGTCAAACCAGCAAGCATAGTTTCAAGTGATGACCGGACGACGACAGGGTCCGGCCAAGACCGACTGGACGTGTCCGGTCAATCTTGGATGCTTACTGTAAACGACCGGACGTTGGATACACAGGGTCCGGTCACCACTGACCGGACGCGTCCGGTCACACTTTCTCAAGTCTGGACCCTTACTGGAGTCGACCAGACGCTGGCCTTCAGCGTCCGGTCACACGACCTTCCAGCGTCCGGTCACTCCAGACTTGTTCTCCATAGTCAAATGAACTGACCGGACCCTACGGCCAGCGTCCCCGCCGCCCGAGCCGGCGTCCGGTCAAGATTTTGACCCTCCATTCACTTCCAACTCTCGATCATATGTGAATGAAGTTAGCTCCAAAGGATCTTAGGCATTCATAGGAGCTACCTAGGGCTAGTTTTAACAAGTGTGCACCACACCTAACTCACTAGACTCAACTAGGTCAAGCTACCCGTTCATACCCCCCTTCATAGTACGGCCAAAGGAAAAACAAAGTCCTAAACTACTCTAAGTGTCTTTCCAACTTCAATTGACACTTAGAACTAGTTATCCTTAACCTTGTCGTCCATCCTTTGAAAACCAAACGATTTCCATCATAGGAGCATGACAACCTCAATTGCCCAATCGATCTCCATTACCATGACCTAACTTAATTGCCTCAGAGAGAACATACGTTAGTCATAGTAATCTTGTATTGACATTAATCATCGAAATCCACTTAGGGGCCTAGATGCTTTCACACCTCAAATACTAGAATGCCTGAATAAAAATACAGTTTAGATTCCACAGCTGCCAAAAAGAATATACGCAGCACACAAAGATCACATTGAAAGTATGTAATCCACCAACTTATCAATGGCGACCTGAGAAGTCCCACCAGTTTCCAAACAATCTGCTACATTCTCCTTGAGCTCCTTAGCCCTCTCCGTCATCTCCTCTCCCTCCCTTTCCTTCATGAGCTTCCTAACGGCCTTCTCTATTTTGCCTCTTTCAAGCTCATCTTCCAGCTCCAACGGGTGTTCACCACGTACCTCGTGTTCATCATCTGATCCGCGAACTGAGGCCTGCAGATCATCGGAACCCCCTCACTGATGTTCTCCAGCGTGGAGTTCCATCCGCTGTGGGTCCAAAACCCACCGACCGCAGGGTGCGCCAGTACCTCCTGCTGCGGCGCCCACCGGATCACCTTGGCCCTGCCATGAACTGCAGCCTCGAAGCCATTCGGAATATCCGGACAATCCAAACCCGGTACCAAGTCTGGCCGAACCACCCAAAGAAAAGGATGGCCACTGTTGGCCAAACCCCAGGCCACCTCCAAGAACTCATTGGACCCTAGGGAAGCCAAGCTCCCAAAACTGACATACAATACTGATTCTGGTTGATGCTTGTCAAGCCACTCAATGCAACTGAAGTCTTGCTCGAATAACCTACTCCCTAATGCTCTTTGAGGAAACCTTGTGGAGAGGACCGGCTGCGAGTACAAGAGGTATGTTGAGCTCTTCACGGATCATTAATTTGTACCTCCGCTGTCTCTAGAACATCAAATGTATTCATCACTAGACCAGAGGACTTCCTGACCACTTCAACGGCTCGAGCAAATGTTCTTCTCATTGCTTCTTGATGGCTTGGGCTTGTATAGAAGAGGTCCCTTACGCGCAGTGGAGGCAGCTCCTTCACCGGCATATCGAGCTTCGACTCTATATGAGAGCATGTATATAGTTAAAACATGCACCGTACCATATAGTGATCATAATTCGTTTTAACCATGGGACAATGGTGTTCTTGCATGTGGTGTGAATACCAATTGTGATGTTGACCTCGTTTTTTTTATGTTTGTGACTTTGCCCTTGTTTTTACAACTCGAACGAATCGTTTACCCTTATTTTTAAGGGTACTATGGTAGTTGGATTTGGAATAAAGGAATTAAATGGGAGGGGGGCATCCAAAGAATTGGTAAAAAAGGGTGAGCTTGTACTTTTTATTTGCACACTTTCAAGTCTTTCAATATAAATGTTTGTCAAAATTTGCTAAAATTCTAAATATATGCAGATTTTATAAAATTTTATTGTCAAATTCTTAGGTATTTATCACAATGCTCTAAATGTCAAAAAAGGAGCAAAATGACACAGTATTAAAAGTAGGAGCAGTTGCAATGGCCAAACTATATAGCTATGTTGACACAATTAAGTACTCTTAACGGAATAGAGGCAAACACTATCTTCAATTCAAAAAGCAGACGCACAATCATAAAGTTAGAAAAATAACGGTAAAGCTTGAAAACAGGAGCAGAAGCGCAAGAGCCCCTTCAATCATTAGAATATTGGCTCAAAGTTCATCTTCCATCAAATTAGCAGATTTCCTCAAAAAACAACCTTACATGTTACTCTTTTCATTCTAAATTATAATTTATTTGACTTTTTTTACCCCAAGTTTGACTGTTCATCTTATTCAAAAAAAATTGTGTAAATATAGTCAAATTTAAGTCATTTTTAAAGAACTTCTGTTAATAAAACAAGCCACAACAAAAAGAAATGATATTTAGCACAAATTTTTTGAATAAGACGAGTGATCATGGGGTAAAAAAAGTCAAGCGAACTATAATTTGGAATGGATTTAGTAAATCACATTCGTTTACTCCTGTGTCTACATATTTGCACACATGTTCCGGTAGGCAAATTTCAGGTGAGTACGTTTCAAGATTAATGATTGAATCCAAAAGCAAATTTCATTTGTGTTGAAGTAAAACTGTCACCTTGGTGAGGCAGATAGCCTTTTTCATGAAGCATGGGATAGGCAACTAGGCAACGGAAGCAGGCGGCGCTCCCGGTGGTCAGCACCAGCGTCGGGAGCCCGAGTGCCTCGGCAGCCTTTGGCACAGCGAGGAGGTTAGCGTCGAAGATGATGCACACGGCCGGCGGCTGCCTCTCGTCCCCGAGCACCGTCGCGAGGACGTCGCGGAGAACCGCCGACTCGTCCGCCTCCATGGCGGCGTTCATGGCGTGTATGATGCCGAGGACGTCCCCGGACGCGGCGACGTGGTCAGGAACGCCGTCGGGCACGGGCACGAACTGGAACTCCGGGTGCCGCTCGGGGTCCGGCGCGCTCAGACACGTCGCGTGGAGCACGGTGATGGCGAGGCCCCGCGCGTGGAGCACGTCGCCCAGCTGCAGCATCGGGTTGGTGTGGCCCTGAAACGGCATTGGACATTAGGACGCGGCGCCGGTGCGTTCCCCGGCCGCGGTCGCCGCACCTGCAGACGCACGGTTCTTGCACAGCGGCCATTATTGCCGTCCGCTCGCGGGAGTACTGACAACCTTCTCGGAGTTGTGGTGGGTGTCTGGGTAATGGGGTTCTGGAGTTGGTCCTCTGTTTCTTTATAGTACCATTTATTACAAGGCTCTAAGCACCGTGGACACGTGGTACTTAGGGTTTGTTTGAACCACCCAACCAAAGTTTATAGCTAGCTAATTAGTAAAGCTAAACTTTAGCTGAGGGTGTTTGGACCATGCTACCCCTTGTTATAGGCCTGTTTGGAGAGAAAACTGAAAAACTGCAAAAAAATAAAAAAAAGACACCGGCTCTTCTTCCTCCCGACCCGCTTGTACGCAGGAGGAGGACATCACCGACCCGCTCGTACGCTGGAAGAGGACATCACTGCCACAGTGGGCATGGCCAAGCGTGGCCAGCGAGGCCATGGCAGCATTGGTGGATCTCACTCGGTGCGACGAAGGAGGATGCTGCGCGGCGGAGGAGGAGGCGCGCAGCGAGGCGAAGGTTGCAGGCGCGGTCAACGTGGAGGCCCGGAGCTTGCGGCCGAGGCTGGACTGCTAGAGCAGCCATGGCGGGCGGCGTGGAGAAGGCCGAGGTCAGGGTCGCGTGCAGACTGCAGAGAAGAAGACGGGCACTAAAGATGTGCATGCAGCCCGTGGGCCAAAGGCCCGGCCCAAAGCACGGTTATTGGGCCCGACCCGAGCACGGCACGGCCCGAACCCTAACCGGGCCCATGCCGGCCCAAAGCCCGTAGCAGGCCGGGCTTGGGCTGAGGCCTCGGCCCGCCGGGCGGCACGGCACGGCCCGTTTTACAACGGCCGGCCCGGTGGAGGCCCAGCAACTGGAGGGGCTATATAAGCCCCCCCGCCCGGACCCCCTCTCACTCGTCACTCCGCCCACGCCTTGCAGCTGTGACCGTCGCCCACCACGCCACCCTCGCCTCGAGCTCAAACCCTAACCCTAATCCCCACCTCGCCTCACGGGTCACCGCCCACGCCCACCGTCGACCACCTACCAGCTACCGCTCCTCACTCGGTCACTCCGCCTCAGCAGCCGCACGGCCGCCCGCCACGCCACCCCTCGCCTCGAGCTCAAACCCTAACCCTAATCCCCACCTCGCCTCGCCAGTGCCGCCATGCCCCACCGTCGACCACCTCCCAGCTACAGCGCTGTCGTCCACCTCCCAGGCTACACGCCGACGGCCGCCGATGTTGAGATCTCCTCTTCTCGATCTCTCCCCCCTCGCTCTCTCTCTCGACCGGATCTTGGGATCTCCTTTTGTCTCCGCCTCTCTTCTCCGTCTCGTCTTCGCCTTCTTTTCCATTTCTCCGGCGCAGGGCTCCGTCTCCATGCAGCAAAGTACCTCTAACCCTAACCCTAACCCTAGATCTAGTAGGCAATCACACGAACCCTAATCCATTTCTCGGTGTTTTTGATTCGCAGTCGCACGGTGTGTAGCTGGTGCCGCAGGAGGCGTTGAGGGACGGTGCCGGTTGGTTGGGTGCCATCTGCCATGGCTAGCTCTGAGTCCGGTGATGATGACGATGGTCCAACCATCAACGACGAGCTCAGGGCCACAGGGCAGATCCCCGATGACGAAGACGACATGGGAGATGCTACTCATCTCTTGTTCGGTAGGAGTGCTGCTCCGACCAACCGAGACGATGCAAATGGCTAGTCTGTCATGCCACCAAATGATCAAAGATCTCTCGCCCGTCCACCACTAGTAAGCGCCCATCCCCGTGCAGGGCTAACTTTGATGAAATCATAGAGACAGTGGACGGTGAGGTACGTGTTGTTGCTATTTGTAAGCTCTGTAAGTCTCGTTTGTCTGGTAAATCTGCTAATGGCACTGGTCATTTAAAAAGACATATGCTCTCATGCAAGAAGAAAACAGAACATGCTAATTTGGTTCAAACTAGGCTTGCTTTGAATCCTGATGGGTCTTATAGGAACTGGGAATATAGGCCTGATGTTGCTAGAGCTGAGCTTTGCCGTTTGATTGCTAGATTAGATCTGCCTTTATCTATTGCTGACAATGATGCTTGGGATGATTACATTCAGCGTGCTCACAATCCTAGATACAAGAGAGTGTCTAGATTCACCACATCTAGAGATCTTTCTAAGCTTTTCAATGAAAACTGCATCACCTAAAAAATGAAGTAATGCCTGGTGTGTCTTCTGTTTGTTTGACATCTGATATCTGGTCTGGCAATGCTAAGGAAGATTATATCACTGTTGTTGCTCACTACATTACTTCTGAGTGGGAACTTAAGAAAGCTGTTGTTGGCTTTAAACTGATTGAAGTGACTCATAGTGGTATTAACATTGCTGAAATTATTGCTGGTGTGCTTGGAGATTGGGGCCTACTTGACAAAGTTTTCTCTGTTAGCCTTGATAATGCATCTGCTAATACATCTGCTATGCTTACTTTGAGTCCTCTGCTTGCTGGTTACTTGGGTTATGATATTGATCCATTGAATCCTAGTAAAAAGATCTATCATGTTGTGCATCAGGGATGTGCTTGCCATATACTTAATTTGATTGTTAAATCTGGTTTGAAAAGGCTTAAACCACACATAGAGGTTTTTAGGTCTGCAATTAACTTTCTGAATTCATCTAATCATCGCATTGCACAATTCAAAAACTACTACATTGCTAAGGGTGTGAGGCCTCGTAAATTTGCTTTGGATATGGATGTTAGATGGAACTCAACCTACCTTATGCTAAAACATCTCATGCCATATAGATCTGTGTTTTCTGTGTTCATCAATTCTCAGTCTGGCTATCCTCTATTGAATGAACATCATTGGTACATTGCTGACAAGGTATTGCAGTTCCTTGAGTTGTTCTATGATTCAACTGTTGTACTTTCTGGTGTTTATTACCCCACTAGTCCTTTGGTACTGCATCACATACTTGAGATTGCATCCCATCTGCATGAATTTGAACATGATAATACTCTTGCTGCTGTAGTTGTGCCAATGAAGAATAAATTTCTTAAGTATTGGAAGAATGTACCACTGTTACTGGACCCAAGGGCTAAGTTGAAAGGTCTGGGAAATGTGCTTGACTTGCTTGCTCTAAGTAACAATATGAGTTACATTGATTACTTTGCTGAGGTTAAATCTGAGTTGCATAAACTCTATGACAAGTATGAATCTAAGTTTGGTGCTGCTAGGCTAGCTAGAACCACCCATTCATCTGGACTGACAGGTAAGAGAAAGCAGGCATGGGGCAAAATTTTTGGAGGATTAGTTTCTTCTGGTCCTTCAAGTGCATCTGCAGGATCTATTGTGTCTCCTGGTCTCTCTGAGCTCACTGTTTACCTTGACAGTGACAATGTTGTGGCATATGATGATGACTTTGATATCCTCAATTGGTGGCATGAGCATAAACTAACCTATCCAGTTCTCTGTACCTTGGCTAAAGATATTATGACTGTTCCTGTATCAACTACTTCTTCGGAGTCTACCTTTAGTCTTACTGGCAGGATTATTGAGGAGCGGCGACGGCGATTGGGCGCGGACAGCGTGGAGATGCTAATCTGTGTCAAAGACTGGGAGCTAGGTGAATCCGGTGGACAGCACACTGTGGAGGACAAAGAGCTAGAAGAATACTTCAAAGAGCAGTACCTTGATGATGAAGTCGGTGGATCATCTCTACCTTTGGTGATGGTTGATCACTTTGAGCCGAGAGCACGAGAGGCCGTGAGTGCGACTTTAGTTGTGAGTTGAGACATTTGAGCTAGCTGGTTTTGTAATAACTTTGAACAATTTGAACATTTTAATTTATTGAGCTGGCCGTACTCTTTTTCCTTTCTAGGGTTTTATCTCACGAGGTGTGAGTTTTACCTAGAAAGGTTTTTAATGAGGCGACATTGCACAAACAGCTCAAATCTTTTGTCATCTGGTGTTTCTGTGATTGTTGAATATGAATATGTGAACTCATGATTGTTTGAAGTTTGAACTGTGATTGCGCTTGCTTGAAATATGGTGTTTATTGTGTAATCAGACTACGGGCTGGCTGATGGACCAGCGGGCATGGTTCAACGGGTTGGCACGGCCCGATATTCGCCCACGGACCAGTGCACAGGCGTCCACCGCACGGTGGATCTGTTCAGAGCCGGACCCGGTGGGGGGCCGGGCGGGCAAAAGGGCCGAGCCCGATCGGGCCGTGCTCGCCCGGGCTCGGGCCGTGCCGTGCAATAAGTCTTTGGCCCGTTGCTCATCTTTAACGGGCACGAGTACAGATGCGGTGAAGGGGAAAAGATGAGGACATTTTGGTAACGAGCCACTTTTAGCGGGTTTAGTTGCGTTGGAACAGCTAATGAGATAATGAGGTTCTCATTAGCTAGGAGGCCTTTAGCGGATACTTTAGCTGGGCTGTAGCAGGATCTTATATCATATTTTAATTGCCTTTCGTAGTCGTGCTGGGGTTGGTGCCGGTAAGAAAATTGGCTAAAGCTAATCGTTTCAATCCTATTTTATTAAATGCGGTACACTTTGGCCTGGTTTAGTTGGGAGAAATTTGGAAATTTAGCTACGGTAGCAATTTCGTTTTTGTTTGACAATTAGTGTTCAATCATGGACTAATTAGGTTCAAAACGTTCGTCTCGTAATTTTCCACCAAACTGTGCAATTAGTTTTCTTTCGTCTATATTTAATGCTCTATACACGTATCGCAAGATTCGATGTGATGACTACTGTAGCACTTTTTGGGAAAACTTTTTAGAATTAAACGTGGCCTTTGTTTTTTTGCGAGCAATATTAAATACGGTACACGTAGTGTAAAGTAACACGACATTGACAAAATAGAGCTACTAGCTCAACAACATGTGCTCTATATGTATTAGAAGTCTTTGAATCAAGTAGGTGTGGCAGTTGCTGGTACATTTTACTTACTCTTTGAATCAAGGCCCCACGCCGCT